CCACATCTTTAAAATTCAAATACTTTATTTTCTATATTTTCTATGACACCGGCGGCGCCGTTCGGTGTCTGTCTGCGGCGCCCAGCTACGTCGTGTTGTACTTGTTGTACTTGTACTAGACATGCCAAAAATTTGACACTACAGCACAGCAGCATTTCTTCTTCGTTTTCTCTGATGCACTAACTCTGCAGCAGCACTTCTTCTTCATCGTCTCGTCTGATGCACTCACTCAACCAAGCGTTCTAACCACAACCTCGCCCCTCCCCACCCCCCAACCATTCGAATTTCTGTAGGCGGGAATTATTTTTCCCTAATGGGCTGCTTTGTGATATCACAAAGCCCGGAAAACAAACGCTGTAGTCCAAACGAGCCGTTCGTTGTAGTTCTTGAAAAGGGATTTAAAAAAAATGAAATATCTCCCTTTGGAGTGGACTTTTTTATGCCCAAACATACACACTACACACTGACTAAAATTCAAAAAGTGAAAAAGCATAATAGGACCCCTTTAAATAGGCCTATAACTTTAATCAAAGAAGTCCGCCACCGACTTATTTCAGAGACATTAGAGGCTAATAACTTGCATTAATAGGCCTATTAATAACACCCATAACCAAAATAACAAAAAAATACAATTCCATATAAACTATTTTCCACAAAATGTTTTTATTATGTTGATTTTTACGTCTCTATCGCTCTCTCAGACAGCTCAAACGAACGAACTCTCTCATAACCGCCTGTTCTTTGCTGCCATCTAATGGGCAAGAACTAGAAAAGCCAGTGAATTTTCATTGTGATGTGACAAACTACACCTGAAAATCAACAAACAGAACAATAATGCAATGTTTTCCCTTGAATGATTTTCTTAATCTCTGCCAGGAGGTTTTCTTTGTTATTTTTGATGTTCATTCCAGCTTTATCCAGTAGCTCCTGGATCAGGTCTCTGGAGTAGGGTTGTTGGAAGGTCTTATATTTACGCTTCCAACTTTCAATTTCAGCTATTAAAACAGACATTTTAGAACATTTGTGAGCTTTCATGTTTGTCTTTTCTGCATATGGTTATAAAATTCTTAATCTTGACTATATTAATTTATACATTAAATAACACCAACAACAACAATAATAATTACCATTATTATTATGAAAAATTAAACTATCACTAATCAGAAGTTGGAAATTACCTCCACAATTCACGACGTTGAAAAGAGGAATATGAATTATTGTCGGTTTATTGTGGCCTTTAAACACATAAAAGTCCTTTGGAGCAGATTTATCCTCTTCTGACATTTCAGGGATTTCAGGGAAGTCAATATGCAGTTCTTTGCATGTATTTTGGGTTTTTGTCATTGACTGTGAATTAGAGTATGTATGTGTGGAAGGAGGGGATATTATTAGTAATTATGCACTATGCAGGTTAATAAGAAAAACAGTATGTAGTTGTTCTACCTTGAATGGGTCATTCTCACTGAAATCGAGCGAGACAATGAGGTCAATGTGTCTTTCTTTCCTCAGCAATGGTAAAAAAGGTGAGTTGTTGGCGATCCCAGCATCAACATATTGCCTCTTTTCCTATTTACAGATTAAGGAAACCTCCAATTCTTTTTCATTAATTACAACATATGAAATTTGTAGGCAATACAATACAGTCAGTGGCCATTTAGTGATGCCAGTACTGCAAATGTCACTTAACTCAATGTGCACTCAAATTTTAAATTATATTTTGCTCACCTGCCATGTTGTAAAGAAAGTTGTATGTTGTCCCCCAGATCCACAGAGTAAGTAACTTTAAGCATTTAACAATGACAGTCCATATCCCATTGCCTAAATTAAGAGAATGAATTCCGTGAGTTACAAAATGTAACGGGTCCCTTTCTTGTTATCATCAGCATATAAAATAACTAATAAAGTTGGCCTTTTTTACTCTCTTGATCACAATATCAATTACAGAAACAAATTGCAGTATACATTACAAATAAAGTGAGTTTTGCATTAAATACTAGGCTCATAAAAAAGAAAACTCACGTCTGACTCGCACAAGCACTTACACACCACTTGAATTGTTGTACAAGTCTTTAACTATAGTATGTTTCCATCCACCATTTTTTAATGCGTATCTAGGATATTGCATTTAATATCAATATTCATTTAATTTCATTTTCATTTCATTCAAAAAAAAGCTGGATGGAAATAGCAAGATCCATATAATCTACATGACAGTGTTTGTTATTGCATGTGTCGTCCGCATGCTCGGAGGCACAAGTCATTTATTATATAAGGAAAAAGAGCTGCAGTAGTTTCCCCGGGTGCAGCAACTTCCACTTTTATTTTTGATAATGTTACGGTCCTGTCAGAATAGTGATTTTGTTCTTTTTGAACACATGAGATATAAAAAAAAAAAATGAATGTGATATTCCAATTTTTCATATTAAATTCACAACTTTGAATGGAAACATAACAGTGGTGCATGCTTTAGCCAACACTATTTATGAAAGCATCATAAAACTCAAAGTGAACATACGTTTGATTAAACGTAATAGTTCCTCCAGTAGTTTTTCCAAGACTAGCAAGACCACTACCACACAGACCTGCAGAAAGAAAATCAATAAACAAAAACAGACAACTGAACAGGGGGTGAACTAAAAACTAAATAAATCATCTTACCTTGCAGGAACAGCATGTCCATCTCGGGCTGGTCTTTTATTTTAACTCCTTGGTCAAACTGACTTCCGAAACTGGAAGTATCTACAAAGGCCCCAGTGATGGAGTAGCCAGTCTCATATGGCGTGATCTCAACAAACGTATCAATGACGGAACACTATAAGTCTCAGACAGTGAAAACATATAGCTCACAAACACACTGACATTACCTGCTTTTAGGCCATGAACATTGCTTTGCATATCAATCACAGTGTAGATGGGATAAGGATCTTGTGTGCTCTTTTTGTTCCTCAGATCAGAGAAAGTTTGCTCATCTATCTGTAGACAAACTTAAAATCAGTTCAAATATAATGTAGGTATATATGTGTTTTTGGTCAGTAAGTTTAAAATAATATATACTTTTATTCAGCATGGACTCCTTACATTGATCAAAAGTAACAGTAAAAACTTTTAAATAGTTGCAAGTTCTGATACGAAGTATATTTCAAATCAATGTTACTCTTTTGAACATTATACTAATCAAATAATCCTAAAAAAGATTCATAGTTTCCACAAAAACTTTAAGGAGAACATCCATTTTCAGCATTCCTGTAACAAATAGTAAGAAATGTTTCTTGAGCAGCAAATCAGCATATTAGAATGAGTTCTGAAGAATCATGTGACACTGAAAACTGGAGTAATGGCTGTGTGAATGTGAAAATTCAGCTGTGCCATCTCAGAAATAAATGTCATTTTAAAATGTATTAAAACAGAACAAAGCCAACACTGATTTTTAATGTAGGCTAATCTGGATTAAATGTAAATGAAAATCCACAGAACAATACAATGTCAATACAGTGTTCCACTTATGCTAATATTTGACATGCTAACATACATTTTCACATCTAAAGCCCCTTTTTGACGGTGTGAGAAAATACTAAATGTGACATTATAAAAACAAAAATCCCTAAAAACATTTAAACTCTCTACATAAACTCTTCCTACCAGTGGCTGCAGTCACTCTATTGTGCATCATGCCTAAAACACCATTTAGCTGTGAACATAATTAATAACATTAAATTATATTTCATGCCTTAGGGCTTAAATCAGGGCTGTCCAAACTCGGTCCTGGAAGGCCGGTGTCCTGGAGAGTTTAGCTCCAACTTGCCTCAACACATCTGACTGGAAGTTTCTATGCCTAGTAAGAGCTTGATTAGCTGGTTCAGGTGTGTTTAATTAGGCTATTGTGCATCATGCCTAAAACACCATTTAGCTGTGAACATAATTAATAACATTAAATTATATTTCATGCCTTAGGGCTTAAATCAGGGCTGTCCAAACTCGGTCCTGGAAGGCCGGTGTCCTGGAGAGTTTAGCTCCAACTTGCCTCAACACATCTGACTGGAAGTTTCTATGCCTAGTAAGAGCTTGATTAGTTGGTTCAGGTGTGTTTAATGAGGGTTGGAGCTAAACTCTGCAGCACACCGGCCCTCCAGGACCGAGTTTGGACAGCCCTGAACCAGGTCGATCCCTAGAGTCCAGCAAGATACAGCACGCAGTCCAACAGATCATCACAAGTGCGATGTTGGGCATCTCTTCCTGTAAAGAACGCCGTAAACACCACATACATCATACTACTATCGACTACTGTGTGTATATATTAGAGCTGTCAAACGATTAATCGCGATTAATAGAGCTGATTCTCTCCTGCTGGTCACATAGTTCTTCTCAGCCTCATTCAGTAAATGACCGATTCTCACTGTAACGCTGTAGAAAAGCAATCAAGGGCAGAAAGGACTGTTCACTAAAGGTTTCAAAATAACTCCGAATACATTATTCAAATGTGAATTGTCGCGCATGTGACGTGACACTGCATTATGTTAAAGTATCAACAATTTTCAATGGTATCTAAATTATATGCAGGCTATTACCTTTCACTTTGATTTCCTTCAGACATCTGTAAAAATGACATTTTTATATGTTATGAATATTCAGGAATATTTAGTTTTGATTTGTTCTGAACTGTAGTGATTGTTTGCCAGCATTGCTAAATTACGTTTTTCTAGTCTCAAAGCATAAAATCTTCCAAATGCAACATTTTAATGAAAAGATATGCACAAACTGATTTTTCATTTAAAAAAAAAAAACATCTGTTTTGAAGGCACTTGCATTTGCTGGCAGCAGTGGAAGTCTGCAAACCAAACTAAACCTTATTGAGAGCAATGTGGGAACTAGGAAATATAAGATGTGGACCAAGCAGAGCAGGACTGACTGCTTAAAACATAACAATTCGGTTTTCAAGTCTGGCCAAGACTTTTTAGTACATCAGATATGTATCCAAAGTACAGTTTTTTGATACTGTGCAACAGAACAGAACATTGCAATTTGTAACAGATTTTTACTTGATGTAGTTGTGTATGAAAGTCTTAATATTTTGAAAGGTAGTGTACTTCATTAAATTCCAAAACATTCATCACCCCTTTTTAGGTTCTATTTGAAGAACAAATACATTTTATTCTGCGCACTTGTCTAAAACTGTTATATGTTATGCTTATAATTTGCAGAAAAACTTTGCAGCAAGAGAGGTTAGTATGAATGTGTGGGTACAACACTACTGTGCAGCAGGTGTGTTTGCATTAGCAGTGCTGTAATGATTGAGACAAGACAGACAATGAAAGGCAATTGAACAAACACAATCTTGTCTTCCTAAACATCTCTTTACACTTGGTTTTCTGAAGCTCCTGAGCTAATGAGTTTCTCTACATCTCACTGCCACAACAATACACATCCAGAAAGATTTCCATATTCACTAATGAATGACAAAAAAAAAAAAATACATTCAGTCAGACAGACACACAAAGGTTGCAAAAGCGATCAATGACGTCAAATTTTCTGCAGGCATGTTAGCATGTGTGTGCATGTGTATGGAACACACAGCAGCATGTTATCTGTGTGCATGCAGCCAATACTGTGTGTACAGATGCTGTTTAACACACACATGCAGACTCAGACAGTGACGTCAACCCTGATGATTAAACACAATCCGGTGAGTGACCTCTCCGATATCAAGTCAAATATCATCAGCATCTAAGAGTTATAATGTGACCTCTGACCTCTGAAAAGGCAATGTATGAGGTAAGCATAAACCAGAAACAGACACCTTTGTTACAATTATATAACCATTGAAAAAGCAATATCTAAAAGACATTTAACCAGTGCAATCTTGAAACAAGTCTTACATAGTACAAATATGCGTGGCTAAAGCCAACTTTTTTTTTTTTTTTTGCCAATTATGGTTATAAAAATACATATAATATAATGTAATATTATATAATATAATAACAAGACTTACATCAGTACAAATATGCAATGTTGGCAGCTGTGGTTCTAAAATATATATGTTGCTAAAGACAATTTATTAAATTTCTTGGCATTTACAGTTGTACATATAATATAATATAATATGAGTTACATTAATAAAAATATCCAATGTTTTGCAGTTCCTGAAGCCAATTTACTCTTTTTTTTCAATTATAGTTGTAAAAATGCATATAATAATATAATAGAATATAATATAATAGAAAACGTAGTAATTTAGGTAATTTAATTTCATTATCTTATCAGCAGTAAAACATTCTGTGTGCACAGAAAGAAAGAAAAGAGAAAGAATAGAGTGAGGATAAACATAAATGACAGAGTGGGGGAGAGGTGAAGACGAGAGGAGAGAGATGCAGGTATATAAAGCTGCTGTGTGACAGAGCATCAGGGAGAACACATGAACACATTTCCAGACAGAGATCACCAGACGAGGACAGAGGACGGAAACCAGAAAAGAGGGAAAAGGGAAGAATCCTCAAAGGTAAGATACTGATTTGGCTTTCTTTTTATATTATATGATGCTAAAAGCGTCAATGTTACGCTACAAGGATAATCAATTTTCAGAAGACATTTTTAAGAGCACAGTATGTGAAATAATAATAAACTTTATTTGTATAGCACCTTTAATAGTGCACTCTCAGACAAAATGTGCAAAAATTTTACTTTTAGGGGTGTAACAGCTTGTCACCGGAGCACTAGCCTCAAAGGGACACCTTTGTACCTTCTTTATCCCTATACAGGGTTCATAATAGTATCATAAAAGTACATATTACTACCTTAAGGGTACTTATTACTACTCTGAGGTATTAATATGCTCCCTTTAGGGGTAAAGAAGGTACAAAGATGTCCCTTTGTGGCTATTGCCCCAGTGACAAGCTGTTGTACAGGTACATTTTTTGCACTTTCTTTTCTGACAATGTACAAAGAATGCAGTTTACAATAATAAAAAAGCATAACAATATTCTCCAAATACCTCACATGAAACTAAATAAAAGTAGGCTACTATAATTAATGTTTAAATATGAAACCCACTTTATAATGACAATAAAATATTCAATTAAAGTTATTAGCTTTCTTTTAAATCATATCTGGCTTCCCTAATATCTAATGTATTCCAAATACACAGCTATATGCTACATTTTACACTAAATAATGCAAAACGTTAAAAAACGGACAAGAAAAAGACGAGAAATGATAAATAGGAATCAATTAAAAAATAATTTTCTCACTTTGTTAAATGTTGTCTTGTAAACATTTTGTATGAAATAAACGATACTTTTATCCACCATGTAACAACAATAATAATCATGTGACATAACATGATATATATATGGGATAACAGGAACAAAGCCAAACTTTTTACGTCTTTTTTAAATTAATGCCATGTAATCATCCATTTTTTTTATACTGCATTTACTTAGATTAAATACGTTTTATTTTTAAAAGTATTAAAATCACGCCTAATAGCAAACTTACAGTATCCTATCATCAGTGAAAACGGCTTATAATTATTTTGATGCATTTTTTAAAACAAAATATCACTAGTAGCTCACAGCAGCTGAATGCAATAATTCAAACAACTGAGAATAAATGTATAGATCTCATATACCCTCCATTTTTTCTTCTAGACATGCAGACAAACGAGATGAACGTTTTACTAGCTGTGTTTTGCGTGCTTAGCATCCTCCAGTTCTGTCACGGAGTATCCAGCAGTGGAGAATGCTACTTCAACTCAAAAGGTAAACTGGACAATACAATACAGTATAGGTTGGGCTAAATATGATGTGACCTTAAGCGTTAATGATCGCCGTTTCGCTGCAGCCAGCTGTGAACACAACAGCCGTGTATTTGACATCGGGGAGGCCTGGATAAATGACGAATGTTTCCAGTGTGTGTGTTTCGAGCCGTTTGGAGTGGGCTGCTGTGAACAGTGAGTTTCAGAAGCGCATACTGATGACTGCAAGCACTCACTACATGCATGCTGCTCATTGTTCTTTACTGTCCTCTAGTGGAAAGCAGCCAGTCGATTACCCGTCCTGGTGCGAAGCCATTAGGAAACCAGATTCCTGCACAGTTGCTGTGGTGATGAAGGCCAACCATAAACTTCCCTGTCTGTTTGGGAGGAAGAACCGCCTTTGGAAATCAGAGAACGACCCACTCTTCTAGACTGCACTACGGAATTCAGTCATGCAAAACACTCATTTAAATATACAGCTTATTCACTATGTTTACCAATATACACACACTGATCAAAAGTTGGGGTCAGTAAGATATTTAACAGTTTTTGAAAGAAGTCTCCTATTTATTTAAAAGAACGGTATTCTATTTTAATGCATTTAAACAATTTATTCCTGTGGTGGCAAAGCAGCCATTACTCCAGTCTTCAGTGTCACATGATCATTCTAATATATATTTGATGCTAAAGTAACATATCTCATTATTATCAATGTTTAAAATAGTTGTGCTGCTTAATATATTCGCAGAGGATTTTTAGAATTATTCGATGATTAAAAAAAACCTTACGGACCCAAACATTTGAACATTAGTGCGCGCGCGCGCACACACACACACACACACACACACACCCACCCACCCACACCCAGAGCAGTGGACAGCCATTTTTTGCTGTGGCGCCCGGCGAGCAGTTGGGCATCTCACCTCAGTTGTGGTATTGCACACACACACACACACACACACAGTTTGCATATTTAAAATGATGAAACTACTGAATCCAAGTACAGTAGGGTCTTAAGTGTCTAATCCTAAACATTTCAGAATGTTTTAAATGTTAACAAAATTCTAAAATTTTTGCTTAAATTTAAATGACCCGTATGTATAATGACAAAACTAAAAGCTGAAACTTGCATTTTCCCCATGCCGAATAAACAGTACTGATGTCCATCTCGAAACTGTGATATTTTTGTCTCTAAATAAATATCAGTTACTGTTTGAGAAAGCATTTCACAGTCTTTGTTTCTAGAAACCACACTACAGATAATTGCTATATAAAATGGAAATAACCATCCGCATATGCAAGGAAACCAGAAGAGACCCAGATCCTGAGAAACACAGGGGTTCAGTGACAGTAAAAATCATGGTCTTTATTTAAAAAAAGAATTTAGGTATCGTTACACAAGATACAGACAGTAACAAAGTGATTACACATCATTGTGGACTTTTTCCAGTTAAAACCATGTGTTCACCCCTTTTAATCTTTATACTATTAAGTGTTATTCTCTCCCATTTACTGTGTTCATAATACATATTTAGATCTGCACGGCTTTTGGACCTTTTGAATCTGGCAGTGCCACTGCTTTGAACTCATGGTAAAAAAAAAAAAAATTGATCTTCAACCTTTCTTCCCTGGGTAGAATATAGTTCTTTAAAGCAAATAAAACAAACAAAAACAAAACCTGAAGAAACCATGACTTGGCCTCCTCTGCTCAAAATATGTCCACCATAAGCCCATAACAGTGCAGGATATCAAATAGTGGTTTGAAAAAGTAAAGTTTTGTGTTAAAATGCAGGGGGATTAACCCAAACAAAGAACGCATATATTACTCAAACTCAAAAGCAAATGCTTTTTCATAAAAAACAAAACAAAACAAAGGTCCTCGCGGCATGGTTGTGCATACTGTTACAGACCACATGATGTGGTTTTGGTCCCAAAATCTGTGACGCCGACAAACAGTCAGCAGAAACTTGTGCAGGACGAAGAGTGTGAAGAGGTAAGAGGAGAGCAGTGGATCAGGCACCAACAAGACCAACAAAAAACATCCTGTGTCACATGATCAACGGGAAAAATGGATCTAAAGCCAAGCTGTGACTGCCAAGAAGGCTTTTATGGCACAAAATGTTGCATAAATCAGCCTCCAGTAAAATTAAAAATAATTACTGAGAGTCTTGGCTGATATGTGGAAAAATCTTGCCACAATCGTAAAGCTCTGGTCAAGGACCAAAACAACAAAAAGCTACCCTAGGGTTAGCATATAAAATTTGACACTTTAGGAATACCATAGTAGATTGTTCCTGAAATCACTTGGGATTTTCTGAGGAGATGAGCAGTGAAGCTTAAGTGCTCCAGAAAGATTAAAGTACTTTTGAAACATCGAGAGGCACCACATTTTTGCTAGTTGGCTTGGTGAGCCTGTCCTCCAGCAGAAGAAAAAAAGAAAAACAGAAGAATCAGATGTGCAGAGACAAAGAAACCAAATGAGATGAGGGTGTAAGGAAGGGAAGAAGAGGTTTTTTTCCTGCTCCAGGTCTTCCTTAGAAACTATTGAGCTCGCTCAGGGTCTGGTCCAGAGTGGTATGGATCTTGATGTTCTCCTCTTTAGCATCTCTCAGTTTCTCTGGAAAAAAAGAAATCCCCCGAAGGACAGCAAAAAATGAAAAACTGCAAAATCAAATTGTAATTTAACACTGTATGTGGTTTATTAGACAAGTTAAGACTTCATTGGTTCTTTGAAGAACCATCATAGATGGCTTCCATTGGCTACCACTACAAATCCTCTGTATCAGCATTATATTTGCATAACAGTTCAGTTTTAATAAATACTACTTGTGAAACTACTGAAATTTACGGTGAGAGATACTGTAGACAACATTAATCTCAAATATGTTGGTTTTGTATCCCACAGTGTTAAAATTGCGCAACACTGGCATGTCAATGCTTTGCTTTCACCACAGCACTGGGGTTAATATAACTAAACGATAAAACAATTTTCAGAGAACTTGCAGCTGAACTAGAGCCTTTTAATTTTGTTCTCTGGCATCAGGCCGTCTATTGAGACCTCAGAAAGACAAGGACTTGTTTTTCAGTAACTTGCAACAAGGCCACTGGGTGTTTTTTTGTGAATAGCTAAAATATTCCTTTAAAATGTATTAATTTCATACCTTGGTAAAACAATCACATTGCTGTTGTTTGAATGATCTAAATAACTTCTCAAGTGCTGACAGCTGTTCAGCCATTTTGCCAGCCAGCCAGCTTCCATTGCAAAATGGAAATTGTCCTTTTTGGAAAAGCGAAACAGATCTGAATGGGCAGCAAGAATCAATGTTTCTAGCCTAAAAAAAAGGCCAGCTTCCTGCCCCCTACCATCTAGGCCTATAATCTATAACAACCACTACATCTGCTTTTCTAGCCCCCTTCTGTTTTACTAAAAAAAAAAAGAAAAAAAAAAAAGAGGCCAGCCACTCAAATGAAAGGGAATTTCTGATAGTTAACTCTGTTATTAAAATAAATAGCACCACTAGAACTCTAAAAAAGGGCATTGTCGAACTTCAGCATCTCTTTATGGATTTTTACCTAATACTCCTATTACAAAATTAGCTGATTGTATTTAAAGGGATAGTTCACCCAAAAATGAAAATTCTGTCATTAATTACTCACCCTTATGTCGTTCCAAACCTGTAAGACCTTCGTTCATCTTCGGAACACAAATTAAGATATTTTTGATGCATTCCGAGAGCTCTCTGACCCTCCCATAGACAGCAAGGATCCCAACACGATCAAGGCTCAGAAACGTAGCAAGGACATCGTTAAAAATCGACATGAGTGGTTCAACCATAATTTTATGACGCTACAAGAATACTTTTTGTGCACAAATAAAACAAAAATAACGACTTTATAGTCGTCTCCTCTGCGTCACCCTGTAGCAGGGCTGTGCGATTAATCGAAATCGTCATAAAAATCGCGATTTGAGCATGCACAATTTCTAAATCGCTTTACAACACGATTTTCCACTCCCCGACCTCCTATGCTATCCGAACCAATCAGAATGCAGCACGCCTAAATGGAGCACGAGAACAGAACAGAGCGGGCGGGCATACAAACGTAACGCCAGGTTCACACACTCCGTCTGTGGTGCGTATTTTTCCACGCCCATGTTAACGGATCAGAGCGGTGATTGCGGTCCGAGAGTGCGCTCCAGGAGCGGTGCGTCTGCAGCAGTCATGCTGCGATCGTTTCCGCACGGAGTCTATTTCTGCTGTGCTGCATGCGCTGAATTAAAGTGACAGCACATTATTCGTGGTAAAAATTAACATGGATTGACACAGAAATTGAGTAATTACACCATAGATGCATATAATTAAAGTCTACTGTTTCAGTCAACACATGGCTTTTTGACTAGATTTAAAACAAGGAAAAGTGCACTTTTAGATAAACAAGGCAATAATAGATGGCACTCGTGGTGCTCTGTAAAGCATGTCTGTGTGTCAAAATCGTGATTAAAATCGAAATCGCAAAATTGATCAAAGAAATCGCGATAGGTTTTTTTTGTCCATATCGCACAGCCCTACCCTGTAGCATCATTTTAGAGAGTATCCACTGAATGTAAAAAAAAAACGTATGTACGCGGATACGTTGTTTACATTCAGATCAAAGCGTAAACAATGTAAACAACATATCCGCGTACAGTGCTGCTGACACAGAACAGCATATGTTGTTTACGTATGTGATACTTTCCAAACGGGCGCTATAGGGTGATGCGGAGGAGACGAATTGTTAAAGTCGTTACTTTTGTTTTCTTTGCGCACAAAAAGTATTCTTGTAGCTTCATAAAATTATGGTTGAACCACTGATTATTTTATTACACTTGGATTATTTTAACGATGTCCTTGCTACGTTTCTGAGCCTTGATCGCGTTAGGATCCTCGCTGTCTATGGGAGGGTCAGAGAGCTCTCAGAATTCATCAAAAATGTTAATTTGTGTTCGATGATGTACGAAGGTCTTACAGGTTTGGAACAACATGAGGGTAAGTAATTAATTACATAATTTTCATTTTTGGGTGAACTATTCCTTTAAAACTAGTTTGTGTAAAGTCTCATTAGGTCTTAATGCATTAAAACCCATTACAAGAAAATAGCATAAAGCGTTAAATATTACAAATATTAAGCATAACTGATTCAAGAAGTTCCTCCAGTTGGCTTAAATATGTTGTGCATTTGTACACAAACTTAACGTTAAAAGTACATCTCTTTTTGAGATTTTTTTTTTATTTCAGACCTTCATGGCCTTATGCACCAGTGATAATCTTACCCACAGCTCAAACTCATGATTATTAATCACAATTAATGAAAGAGAATTTATCTAAGCTTTCATCTTTCAACCACAAGATATTAATCGTGTGCAATCTAAAACTGGTAAATGCTTGATTGCCCAACACCAGCCAATTGTAATAAAGAGAGACAAGCAGACATTCAAAAGAGCGCAGAGCTTTTTTTTTTCCTCCCTTCAATAAACATGGACACAACACGGCATGAAAATTA